TTAAAAATTAGAATAATTTTTGTTTCTTCTCATTTTTTCTAATTGTAAATAAAAAAATTAATGGGAATTTTAAATTTATACCTCTCAAAAGTATCAATTCGCTCTGTTAAGAATCTAAAATGATAATTTTAGTAAGTACCTAATACTGTCATTCACCACATCAAGTTCAATATGATAAGCACAATTACATTTACCTGCACGAAATAGACAACAATAATTCTGAGAGGCTAAACCCTCCCAAGCCACCTTAGATACCCCTATAGTCCTAGCTCTACTTATGATGCAACCTGTGGATAATATTATATAGGTATATATTACTAATATAATATATATAATTATTAACTTTGCAATAACTGGAATATCTAATGCTTCAGATATAGCTTTAATGAAATGGTTTCTATTTGAATGCATTGGTCTCTCTTTAATGGTACGACCATGTACACAAATTGCAGCCACTCCCGTAGCAGCTAATTTCTTACACAAAGCAACTGTATCATCAACATCTTCTAACACACGAATCTTGCAGGTCACTGGTATTTTAACTGCTGAAACCACTGCAGAAAGAATTGCACAAGCCTTGTTAGGATTAAATAAAAGGGCAGCTCCCATTCCTCCCTTCAGCGAAAAGTCTTTCGGGCAACCCATGTTTATGTCAATTCCTGCTACATCTTGTTCACTAATCATAATGATTAAAAATTAATGAAATTTTCCATTTACGGTTATCAAAATTGTACTTACACTACTTGTGCAGCCTTAGCTGCTCGTTCAGGATCACTAGTGCCAATTTGAAGAACAACATTGTGTTTTTCACGAGAKCAAGTGCGGAATACCACAGTAGCATCGCTTTTGTCAATAAAATCAACACTTTGTAATGTCTCTAAAATTATTATATTGGTTGTCTAACATGTGATTTACATATATTTATTTTTAAATTACCATTTACTTTTCGATAACATCTAATCAGCCTATGATCAATCAATTCTTCTGTGTATACAATATCTGCTCCATAGTCTAACGCCAATAAACGCATGGGTAGTGTGTTTATCCTGACCATGGGTGCTAGTATAATTTTGTTGTCGTAACATAATTGTTTTATGTTTTCCATGCAGACCATTAATCAACTAAGCTCAGTGCAAAATRGCAATATTTTCTAATAAAAAAAATTTCTTTTGCTAAAGTAGAACTCTTTAGGCGCTTTTATTTAGGCTTAACTAAGTATAAAGAATTAAAAATAATAATTAGATCAACTTTAGTTGAATAATTTATATTTTATCAGAATGGAAAAAAAAGTAAATACTGATTACTGTGTACAAGACAATCTACAAGGGTACAAAATAGAAATCTCAGTATTGAATATTAATCGAATAATTACAATTTGAATTGTACTACTTGTCTACTTATAAGAATAACAATAAAAAAAACGGTAACTTTTTATTAATCACTTTTAATAAAATTTGATATAGTCTACAACTGATGACGTCTGTCGTCTGATGTGTGCAAGGTGGATGTAATATTATCCTTCGACCATATAAGCATTATAAGCTACAAAAAAATAATAGACGCGGCATACGGTAAATATCTTGACGCCAACATCATGTAGCGTGTGACGTCACGTTTGGGCAATAACGCCGGCCGGCGGCCGCACTATAGATAGTATTCTAGCTACCGTAATAAAATATGATTGATTAATGGCTTACTTACCAATTTTAATTCTTAATTTCTTATTTCCTTACTATAAC